CTCCGCTCCCCACCCCCACCCAGGTCTTCCAGCCTCCGCACTATTTCCTTTCCTAGACTGGAAAGTTCAGGCAAACCCAGAGCCCACTGATTTCCTTACTGAAATCAAGATCAAGCCCACGGTGGGGCTCCAGCAGTCAGGAGGTCACGTGGGTGACCTTCAGGCCCTCAGAAGAGCCGCCCAGAGGAACTGAGATGACCAAGTGACCTACAGAACCCGGAGAGCTGGAGAGGCGGTCCCCACACTTCTGACGCGCCTCACTCTTACCAACATCAGCAACAGCAACACCTGTACTGATTGCTCATGCTGTCAGTAATGGGACTAGCGGAGAGAGGTTCTTCACTCACAGCCATTTCAAGAACTATTTTTGAAAAACAAATATAACACAACTCTTTTTTTCTAATCACCTTGCTTCCGAGTCACTGATAGCCTCGAAGTCTTAACTCTCAACACCTTTCCCCCAGCATAGATGTCTGAGCACAGCCAGGTATTAGGTTTTATCACTGAAACACAGCATCTGTCCTAAGCAGTCCAGTCAGTCACGTGCAATTCATGAAAGAAGAGAATTCTTTCATTTCTATCCTTCTGCCTTGAAAAAAACCAGGTCCACCTCCTAAATAATTAATTTCAAGTCTGCATCCAGTGCCAATACTTGTTGCATCCATTTTAGAGTTTGATTAATTACCCTGGAACTTGGGCAAACTAAACTCCATGTGGAGAGAATGTTTCTTCCTTCAATTTAGTTCTGAAAGCTACAAGTTATTGATGGCTCTTACTCTATTTACATACAAATTGGTGCAAATATGCCCATATCTTAAAATGCATTTTGTATAAATATATAAAAGTGTCATTTTTGATTTAGCTTGAAGAGGTTGATCATTTATTACAAAAATAAACGAATAAATACAACAATATATTGTTGCTTCCAACAGGATAAATACTTTACAAATATATAATTTAAAAAACAAATTTAATTGTTAAAATTATTTAAAATATTACACTTATTGATAAAACTATCAATTGTATATACTGCATTTAATATTAGAACCAATTATTCTCTGAATGTTGAAAACCATTCATACAAAACAGATTATGAGCATGGTAATAAGCAAACACTGGAGGCTACAGGGAAGCAGAGGGAATCTCTAAGATCAATAATGAACAGTTCTATTTTGGAACAAAGAAGTAGTCCTTGGCTAAGTACTTAAAAAAAAAAGGCAGAGCAACAACAGAAAAGTGACTATTTTAAATACACCTTGAATGATTTATCGCCCAGACTTGCAGGGGAAGATGGTTGGGTGAATGAGGTGACAGAGGCTTGGACAACTGATCAGGAGCCACAGGACACTGCAAACTATAAATGGGCCTAGCTCCGGATTAGCCAGATTGATGGAACAGAACTTTGTCACTTTCCTTTGGGTTGGAAGGGGAGGAGGGGGTGGATTGAAATGGAGGAAACAAATGGGCACTTTACGAAGCACAAGACACTTGCGCTGCAAAGGAACACAATGACCAAATTCATTAAAAAGATCTGGTGATATATAACAATATTTTCATTATTTACATGTGTAACAATATAAGCCTTAGCACAAAACCTCTCAGTTATAGCTGCCCTCTTTTGTTTTTCAACCATGAATTTCATTTTGTAAATACATTCAAAGGGTTGATTTAAAAAAAAAATATGGAGTGCAAGCATGAGCTCACTTTTAGACACGCAAAATGATGAAATAAAATGGGCTTTCTTTCTCATCTTCTCCAGTGAAAAGTTACCCTGCTACCCTTAAATCTGGGCTCCTTCCAAAGTAATCAGCAAAGGTTGCTTTTTAATAGAAAACAGTGTGAAATCTAATGTTAGTTCTTTTGTTGTCAGCCAAATCAAGTAAGCAAATACCTCCTAAAATTTTAAAGAGACCAATTCTCTCTCTAATCAACCACTACCATTCCTGTAGGGAAAATAGAATTTCATCTCACATGCCAGTAGTATCCACCATATAAAAACCACCACACCCAATCCTCAGCTTTCTCATAAGGCCTTCTTTGCTTGCCCCCGTAGCCCCTCAAAAAAAAAGATGAAGTTTGTCCCCACCCCCGACCCCCACTCCAGGTTGTAAATTTGCTGGGCAGAGAGATTATAATAGCAAGAAATATAGGAAACAAGAAGGCAAAGAAAAGTAAATTGTGGTTTCTTGTTTTCATTTTTTCCCTTCTCTCTGTTTAATAAATATGGCCTTTTTCAGATTTCACAAATCAAAATGATTGTGATTTTTAGTACGATTTGGTGTTTAAAATAATGCAACCCAATACATGGCCATCTGGCTGGGCTTGATTTATGAAAGTGACACAGGGTCTGTCTGGAAGAAATGACTGTTCCTTGTTGCTCTCACAGTTTTCCGGGTTTTTTAACCCCTGCATCGATATCAGAGGAAGAGAGAGGAAGATGAGAGAAGGCAGAAAGTGAGTGACAGCCAAATGAGATTAAGAGGAAATTAATCCATAAAATCATTGCTTTATCACTCCCAAATACTTTTTTTAAGTACAATACGAAGGGACTCAACTGAGCAGAGCCTTTTGAGTCTATAGTACTCACAACCTGAGGCATTATACTTTCATTTTCCCACACTGTAAATATTGATACATTAACTTGATAAATGTGACCGCTCTGCAGGGTGTAGCTAAGGAGTGATCAAAAAAAGCTCAAAGCCCCAGCACCAGTAAAGAAGATACAGAATCATACTGGGGAAAGACCGGAACATAGAAACGTGGAATCTTAAGTCTGAGCTGGTAATCACACTGAGGGTAATGCAGTGTGGCCCATAGTCAGGATTTTAGAACTACATTCTTCCAGTACAAGAAAAACAAACAAAACAAAACAAAAAACCAAAACAGCTTAATAATTTAAACTGAATTGCATATAGTTATTAATGGGAAGTAATGAATATAAAAATATTTTATAGACTTGTAAGCTTATTTAGAACTATTAGTCTTCAGAAAAAGAGGAAAGAAACTTAGCAGTATGGTTGGGGGGACGGGAGGGAAAAGAGAGGCTAAACTTGGGTGGGGGGAGAGCTCTGTATTAACCATTAATAACCAGTTGGCACATTTTTACTGGTGCTGTAGTCCAATCTTCTGGGAAAGTTGATAAAGGACATCTCCAAGAAAGGGACTAGTCTTTAGACATTCTCACCTAAAAACACCCACTGAAACCAAGGGAGAGAAAAATGTTGTGAGATTTATGGATTAACAAGGAGTGACAACTATGTTAAAGTACTAGCGGTTTCTGTCATGTCTGTCCTTTACTCTCTATTTCCAAATATACCTTAGGTGGTGCTAAGTGCTATCACTTAAGGATTTGCATTAGTAAAAAAATATTTTCTAAAGAACTCTTTTCTTCCCACATAGTGTTTATGCATCAGACACAGACTATTTCATTCTAACAAATTTATTTTCTCGATCAGCTCTTACGGAATCACTACTCAAATTAAATTACAATCAAATGATCACATCAAAAGATACCCTTACTACCTAGCAACTGTCCATATTTTCATTTCATTTTGATTTGTGCTCGTCTGAAAAAAACACGTAATACAAGATCTGGGGAAAAATAAATTACCGTTTTGCAGCAGTTCATAAGTATTCTGAATAAAATATTAAAAGAAGTCATTTAATGAAAATATAAAGCAAATATTTTTAGATCAACAACGGATCTAACAATTCTATATTGCCGTCTTTTGAAAAGTCTGTTTATTAAAACCTACCAAAAACACTGCTTGGAAATGGCAGTATTATATAATCACATCCACAGCACCCATTCAATCAAAGTTGGCAACGGATTGAGGAGAGAAGTCCAGAGAAGTGCATCAGCTGGTGCTCAGTCCTTCTAAATCTCTTTATCTGAGTCAGTCCAGAAATAAAAAATAAAAAATATTAATAAAAAAAATATTAGCGGTGGAATCTTTAGGCCTCATCCACCCGAGTGACCGCCGTTAAAGCCGGGGTTGGTGGCGGGGCCTCGCTCCGCGCCCAGTCCGCCCGCCCTGCCCAGGACTCGGCCGGGCCTCTCCCACTCCTCGGAGGACATCCCCTTCTCCCTTGCCCATCCCTCTGCTCTTTCGTGATGCTTTATTTCCAAGGTTACTTTGAGGATACTTTTTCTTTTGGCTTTGCTATTCAGTCTGTTAATTTCAGAAGCTGTGAATATTTCCTTTTTTTTTCCTTCCTGAAGACTGTTCTTTGTTTTCTCCTTCCCATTTCATAGTCAATTTGTCCCCAAATGACTTTAACATGGCCAAGAAAAACAGGGCCCCGAGCACAGAGTCAACCCCTGATTAAACCCGGTGCCTCTGCTTTCTTTCAGGTCGCTCCCAGGAAAGAAAGTTTCGGTAGATCACTTTAGGCAGCCCTTTGGAGGGGGGAGTGAGTGAAAAGGAGAGAGGGGTACTTTTTTTTTTTTTTTCCTTTTTTTTTTAAGAGGAGAGGACGAGGCAGGTGCTAGGTGCTGTCCACCGTTGCCGTGTAGGACTTCCTAGGGTGGGAAAAAACCTCACGAGTGCAGTTTTGGTGCGCTAGGCATCTTCACCCTTCTTTAAAAAGAAAAAGAAAAACAAAAAGGAAACACCACCACAGTATAAACGAGATCTCATGATCGCCTCCTTTTTCTCTTCCGGTTTTGTTTGTTATATATATGTATATAAAACAGTCTGGGTATTTATTACGCTTTTGTTTTGTTTTGCCCCTCCTTCCTTGGACTTGAGAAATGTCTCCTTGGTCCGTCTCTCTCTCTCTTTTTCCTCCAAAGGCGGGCATGTTTGTCTTTGGGCGGAGGGGAGGGCGGCGGACCGGCCCGGGCCCGGTGCTTCCCCAGTGCGGGGTTGGCGCTGCGGCGGCTGCGGCGGCGGCGGCGGCGGCGGCGGCGGCGGCGGCGGCGGCGGGGGTTGGTGGCGGTGCTGACAGCGGCTGCGGAGGCGGCGGCGGCGGCCCTCTTTGCGCTGCGCCCCTTGCCTTCACTGCACGCTCGTCTGCAGTCCGTGGTGCGGCGGCGGCGTGTCGGCGCTCACGGTGCCCACCTGCGAGTAGACGTCGTCGGGCGTCTGCTGTTGGATCCCGGGCGGCGTCATGCGCTTCTCCTTTTGGCGCCGGTTGCAGAACCAGACCCGCACCACCTCCTTCTCGAGCTGCAGGCTGTCGGCCAGGTTGGTGATCTCCTGCGCGGAGGGCTTGGGGCACTTGAGGAAGTGGCTCTCGAGCGCGCCCTTGACGCTCACCTCGATGGAGGTCCGCTTCTTGCGCTTGCGGCCCTGTGCCGCGATCTTGTCGATGCTCGTGGGGCTGCCAGTGCTCGAGTCCGCCTCCTCCAGCCACTTGTTCAGCAGCGGCTTGAGCTTGCACATGTTCTTGAAGCTCAGCTGCAGGGCCTCGAAGCGGCAGATGGTGGTCTGCGAGAACACGTTGCCATACAGCGTGCCCAGCGCCAGCCCCACGTCGGCCTGCGTGAAGCCAAGTTTGATGCGCCTCTGCTTGAACTGCTTGGCGAACTGCTCCAGGTCGTCCGACGTCGGCGTGTCCTCGTCCGAGTGCGGGTCGTGGCTGTTGAGTCCGGGCCCCGCGCCGCCGCCGCCGTGGTGCGGAGGCCCCTGCGCGTGGTGCGGGTGAGGCGGGTGCGGGTGCGCGTGGTGGTGGTGGTGGTGGTGGTGCTCGGCCAGCTCGGGCGTGTCCCCGCGCACCAGCCCCGGGTGCACCAGGCTCTGGGCGCCGCCGCCCGCGCCGCCGCCGCCGCCGCCCGGACCCGGGGGCGCGCTCAGCATGCCGTTCACCGTGAAGCCCCCGGGCTGCGAGTAGAGCAGACTCTGAGGCGGCGGCTGCTGGCCTCCGGCCATGGACGGGAGGTGTGCGGCGGCGGCGGCGGCTGCGGCGGCTGCGGCTGCGGCGGCGGCGGCCCCCCAGCCCCCCGGATGGCCCTGGTGCGGGGGCGGCGGCGGGGGCCCGAGGTGTGGCGGCCCGCGGTGGTGCAGCGCTGTGCCCGCGTGCAGATCGTCGCGTCCGGAGCCGCCCTTCACGTCGGGGCCCTGCGGCGGCGGCGGCGGCGGCGGCTGCGGCGGCTGCTGGGGGCTGCCGGCCATGCCCACGGCGCTGCCGGACCACGGCGAGCTCGCCTCCACGGCCGCGGCGGCGGCGGCGGCGGCGGCGGCGGCGGCGTGGGGCAGGGCTGTGACCCACTGGTGCGCGTGGCTTAGCATATGGCCGCCGTTGCTGGCGGCCATGGCCCCCTGCATGAAGTCGCTCTGGACCATCTTGACGGAGGACGGGTCCCCTCGGTAGGCGCCCGAGGTCACGGCGGCGCTGCCGGGCTGCATGCCGCCCCCGCCGCCTCCCGCGCCGCCGCCGCCACCCCCGCCGCCGCCGCCCCCACCGCCGCCGGCTCCCGCCGCGTCCGAGTGTACAATGGAGCCGGCCGCCAGCAGGCTGTTCCCCGGCAGGTAGGGGTTAGAAGCCGCCGTGGCCATGCCGCTCCGCTCCCGCCACCCC